GTGGTGGCGGTGGATGGTGGCGGTGGTGGTGGACGACGATGGTGATGGACGGTGACGGTGATGGTGGACGGTGGTGGTGGTGGACGGTGGCGGTGAACGGTTGTGGTGGTGAAGAGAAGTAGAAAAAAAGGAGAAGATGTTAGAAGATGTTAGAAGACATTGGTTAATGTCTTCTCCAAGAAGATGCCAGGAAGACCTTTTTGAGTGAAATGTCTTCCAAAAAACAAACAATCTGCAGAGCCCATCATCTGCGGCGTCTGCGCGGCGCAGACAAAAGACGCCAGAAGGTCTTCTGGCGGAAAAACAAACACCCCCTAAATCTTCAATCTTTATTTCTTGAGATTAGTAAATGAATAATTTGTTTGGTTTATATTAGAAGTGTTTTGGGATGTTTTCAAACTCAAAGACACATAGGTAGCATCAGCTTAGCCTAGCCTCTGCAGCACAACAACACAACACAGAGAAGATGAAAATTTTAAACAAGAGGTAATGCCATCTTCTTCATTTTCTTTTAGTTTTTTTAAATGATTACTCAATTTTCAGAAATTAGAGACACTCTCCTACAAAAAAAATTAATTTTCCACTCAATTTATATATTTATTCAATTTTCCTTTCAATTTAAATATTTCTTTGATCTATTGTCATCGTTGTCCATTTGAGTTCCATGGTTAGATTGCATATTGGCTTTATATTGGTGTTGGTTTCAATTCATGTATTAGATTTGTTTATCTTATTGTAGTTGGAAATAATGTGATATTTACTCCTACCTCAAGAGGTTCAACACCATAATTTTTGGTGAATTTGATATGAGAATTAGTTATCAATGAAGATATTTGAATGTGCAAATTCATAGTCTGGAATTGAAGGTGCAACAATCTTAGTTTCGAGAAGACTTAGAGATATCTAGGCTAGAAGTTGTGGATGATTTGCCATTTACAGATATTTTCTCATCTCCAATGAGCAATCTTCGTGTTGATCTCAGCTATCCAAGCAGCTATAAGGTTTGGAGACATTCCATAGTGGGCACTTGAACTCCATTTGTGAAACCTTTCTCTTCACAAACAGTGAGAATGACAAGGGAACAATTAGTTTTTTTCCAAGATTCCTTATTTGGTGAACAACAAAGGAATATGTGATCATGATCTTTGAATATGAAAATTTAGAAAATAGGTAAAGAGGAGGTATGCATATTTTTCTTGCTAAGTTCTTTTTCAAAGTTTTAATTTTTTATTTTAATAAGTAATGCAATACGGAGTACTTCTCAAGGATTCATATCCATATATGATGTTTTGGTTTATTATGCTACTCATGTTGTTTATAAAGTAAGTTTTTTGAAAAATGTAATTTATTTTTCTTTATGTTTTGAACTTTGTTTTAGTACATAAGACTATTCCATGGAATTGGTAGCGTTCTAAAATATGTACCAATTGATTTTTGAATCATAGTATATGCTAAATAATGCCAGGTAATGTAGCACTTCCGCTTTCCCAAAAGAGTTGGATTGTGAGAATGGCACGTAAATGCTAGGTGAGATAGTGACGGCGTGTGCATTAGAAATTTAAGTAATGAATTTTATACAACATACACTGGGCATGGGTTTTTTAAAAGTCTATTTGACAAACTCTTCATATTTGGCATGCTTGGCTTAGTCGAGAAGTTTATTGTAACAGTCTAACATTTGACATTTAACATATTTTCTCAAGTTGCCTCTTAAGTAACTTATGTTGATAAATAAAAACACATATAAAAGGAATTAGCTTTTTAATGAGAGATGAATACAAGATATTATATTTGTAACTCAAGGTTATTAGTTGAAAGTGATGATAATTCTGAACCTTTCCTGGAACTCCATATGAGATAGAAGTTACTACGTAGTATTTACTAAACATAGTTTTAGCTTAGTTTTTTTTAAATATCAAGCTTACTATTTAACAATGCTCTAAGTTTTGTCTTTCATTATATGTATGCCTTATAGCCTACTAGATACGGAAAAATAACTTCTTATCTTAAAAAGAAGATAGGAAAGGCAACAAGATCTGGAATTTAGAAGGCATTACGCTAACTTTGTTGAGGATTCCCTTAGAAATATCATAGTAAGAGCTGCATTAACAGGTATTCATGTCCATGCAATTCTTTTATTTATGCCTTCTTCAATCAAGCCTGAGAATTGTAATAATTTTTTTGTGATCGCTGCTATAAAGAGAATTATGAAACCGTATCTCAGATATCTGTAGACATATGTTTTCATTTCGGGCCAACATCTTGGTTATCTCTTTAGTTCAAATTCTTTGTTCAATTTTAAGTTGTGGGATTTGAAGAAGTTCAAAGGAACACATTGTACCCAGCAGCATACCTTTTCAGATGATCCCAATATGAAAAACACATTTGCGAATAAGCTATGTGAGGTACTACAGGGTATCAATAATTTGTACACATTAACCAGACAGACTGTAATTTCTACACTTCCAATGCACTTTTTGTTGCCTATTCCAACAAAAGACGCTGTGAAGCTTTATGAATAATATTCTGCTCACATTTACTTTGGTAATACTCCTTTTTTTACCTTATCGTTCAGAATGCATTTAAAGCTTCTTGATCTTCATGTCAATATATATAAGTTGATGTATCATGGCAGTTATGTTCCATACAATTCTACTAGGATTGAGATGTGCCAAGCATTGTCAAGAGACAATACGAGGAAAGAAATACTATTTATGGATATGCTAAATCATTGGCTTGACCAAATGTATGCTCCTCCGTCATCACCATCACCAACATCATCTTCACCCGAACATCATGTTGTCATGCGGTATAGTTCTTTACTATTTAAAATCAATTACTTCTAACTTCATTATTCATTTATTATTTATAAAGAGTAGTTATATAATAAGTAAATCTATACATTACCTGTTTTACTTAGGTTTAACAATCTCAATTTTCATAGTACCTAAAATCAATGGCATATAAAAAAATTTCTTATTTTATTACTTCATATTATATACATCACGATTGAATTTTTAATCCAAATATATCAACATCATTTGTGACATTAATAATGATGCATATGTGGGGTAAATAACAAGCAGGTTGTTCATCCCAAACGTCTTTCAAGTATCATGAACTCGACTTTGGCGTGTTGAAAGGAATCTAGCTCATCTTTAGTTATGGTCAACCCTGGGTCGCTATTTCACATGTGACAAATCAACATGGATCAAGGTATCGACTTGGGATGAAGAAACAACACTCTTAATCACACTTGGAATTTTGTATATTAAGTTTTATAAAATTTATGATTTTAGTTCTATTTTACTAATATCATGCATCCTTGGTTGGTGGAATAAATTGTATGCATTACACCAACGGTTTATATACAATTGAAGTATTGTGACTTATCATATTACCCATAATTATGTGTTATTTTTATTTTTCATTATGTATATCAAAACATAATATTTTCACCGTGCATCGCACGGGTTAGAATCTAGTTAATAGTGAAATAAAGTGACTAAATTAAAAGTTCTGAAAGACTTTCTTGTATACTATTCCGTATTTTTTTGTATTTGAAGGTGGTAGGTCATCATTACAAATCAAGATTTTTAAACCACGTCAACTGGTAACTTGAGAGACAGCAACGTAAAGTTAACCATGACTAAAAACTGGTTTATTGAGCAATAATCCAACGTGCTTCAATGATTGGTCTTGACTTTTGTTAATTGTCATTGCGTAAAACGTCATAATAGGGAACTGCTTCTTTTGAAACTTAAAAGGAATCTGACTATTTGAAGGAGTGAGCGTAAGTCGAGGAATGACTACTTCGTGGCATGCATTCTTAACTCCCAGCACTTTTTCTTGAATCAAATGTGTGCCCAATTGACGCCGAATTAAATCAAGGCGTAGGGCTAGAACGAGAAGAACAACGAAAGAAAGGGAGAGATTGAAACGCTAGGGGAAGAGTTCCGCTCTAGGTTATGAATTATTCTCAAATAATGATAGTCTGCCTCAAATATGCCCACAAGCCGGGCTATAAATAGCTGAAAAACGAAGGGAGTGAAACCCTAAAAGATGGAAGACAAAACGGGCCTAAGAATAAAAATAAATGGGCTAACTAAAAGATAGGCCGAAGGCCCAAAGACACAAAAATTTAAAAATGAAGGCCTTAACAAAGAGTTCACGTTAGTCTTGATCCTCTCGTGCATCAGTCTTCCCGGGTTGGAAAGAACTCGTCCTCGAGTTCACATCATCATCTTTAGAATCCAAAAAACAAGGAGTTAGGTGCTTCACATTGAAAACATCAGAAGTTTTCAAGTGACTGGGTAGCCGCAATCGGTAAGCATTATCATTGATCCTCTGAACTATCTCGCAGGGTCCAATTTTCCGATCCTTGAGTTTATCATACTCGCCAACAGGGAATCGGTCCTTGGTCAACACAGCCCAAACAAAGTCTCCAACATCAAACAGAACTTGACGTCGATGTTTGTCCACTCGTGCCTTGTACTTGTTGTTGCTTTCTTCAATCTTACGTCTCACCTGATCATGTATGCTCCTCAGGTTCTCTGTCATCTCTTCGGCTCTAGGATGATTGTGACCCACTCGTGGAATTGGGGCCAAGTCCAACACCCCGGATGGGTTCTGACCCAAGACAATCTGAAATGGGCTCAATCCAGTGGTCCTGTTTATTGACCTGTTGTAGGCAAACTCCGCTTGGGGAAGCGCCAAATCCCATTGTTTTGGCTTAGATCCTGCCAAACAACGTAGAAGATTTCCCAAGCTACGGTTCACCACCTCCGTCTGGCCATCAGTCTGAGGATGATATGCACTGCTAAAGTTTAGATTGGTGCCAAGCTTCTCCCATAAACTCTTCCAGAATTGGCTCATGAATTTTGTGTCACGATCTGAGGTGATAGAACGAGGAACGCCATGCAACCTCACAATCTCCTTGAAATATAGGCGAGCAATCCGCACAGCATCCATGGTTTTCCTGCAGGGAATAAAGTGTGCCATCTTGGAAAACCTGTCAACAACAACAAAGATGGAGTCTGCCGCCCTTTGGGTGCGGGGTAATTCAAGTACAAAATCCATGTTTACATCAAGCCAAGGGGCTTCTAGAACAGGCAATGGAGTATAAAGGCCTGCATTTGTCAAAGTTCCCTTAGATCGCTGGCACACATAGCAACGATCCACAAAATGGGTCACGTCACTTCTCAACTTTGGCCAGTAAAAATTAGCAGACACAAGAGCGAGAGTCTTGTCTCGACCAAAATGTCCTTCGTTGTGGAGTTCACTGATAATCTGCTGTCGTAAGGAACAATCTGGGACACACAGCTGCCGACCTCGAAAAAGATAGCCATCGTGCACCAAGAAATCATGGCGGTGTCCCGAAGTCACTTCCAAGAAGATCGTTCCAAATGAAGGATCAACTTCGTACATGTCCGCAAACACTTCAAATCCCGTCACTCTACTGCTCATGGTGGAGAGAAGATTATTTCGTCGACTCAAGGCATCAGCGACGCGGTTGACACTACCTGATTGGTGTTTGAGAACAAAGGTGAACTCCTGTAAGTACGCCACCCACTTGGCATGACGCCTATTGAGTTTGTGCTGCCCATTAATATACTTCAAAGCCTCGTGATCAGTGAAAAGAATGAACTCCTTTTGGATTAAATAATGACGCCAATGTTTGAGTGACTGAACAATGGCGTAGAACTCGAGGTCATAAGTCGAGTAGTTCTTCTGGGAACCAGAAAGTTTTTCACTGAAGAAGGCAACTGGACGTCCAGCCTGACTAAGCACACCTCCAATGCCAACACCGGACGCATCACAGTTGACCTCAAAAACTTTGTCAAAATCAGGGAGGGCTAATACTGGAGCCTCCGTCATCTTCTGTTTCACCTTCTCAAAGCTGGACTCCGTGGCATCTGTCCACTGGAGGTCACGTCCCTTGAGACACTCAGTAATGGGCGCGATCAAAGTGCTGAAGTTCCTAATGAATCTGCGATAAAAAGAGGCTAGACCATGAAAGCTACGAACGTCATGCAATGTTCTGGGTCTAGGCCACTGCACAATGGCCTCAATCTTCGAGGGATCTGCATGCACACCATCAACAGAAACCACAAACCCCAGGAACTGAACGGAGGTAGTAAAGAAGAAACACTTCTTTCTATTGATGAATAAAGTCTCCGCTTTTAGCACCTCAAAAACAGCACGCAAATGTTCAAAGTGGGCAGCCCAAGATGGACTATAGATAAGGATGTCATCAAAGTAAACAACAACAAACTTTCCCATAAAAGGTCTCAAAACCTGGTGCATGAACCGCATGAACGTACTAGGTGCGTTGGACATACCAAACGGCATCACCATCCACTCGTACAACCCATGCTGCGTCTTAAACGCGGTCTTCCATTCGTCGCCAGGCTTGATTCGAATCTGATGGTACCCACTCTTAAGATCAATTTTGGAAAAGATCTTAGAGCCGGAAAGTTGATCTAGCATGTCATCAAGTCGGGGAATAGGAAATCTATACTTCACTGTGATGCGGTTGATGGCCCTGCTGTCCACACACATGCGCCAAGAACCATCTTTCTTCGGCACCAACAAGGTTGGAACTGCACATGGACTCATGCTCTCCCTGACATAGCCTCTTTCAAGCAACTCCACAACTTGTCGCTGCAATTCTTCTACCTCTTTGGGACTGAGACGATATGCTGGTCTATTTGGGAGGTTAGAGCCTGGGACTAAATCAATTTGATGTTGGATGTCCCTCAATGGTGGTAAACCAGGAGGTAGCTCATCAGGCATCAAGTGTGAGAACTCATCTAGAAGTTGCTGCACCTCCACAGGTATGTCACTATCTTCATCACCTGCTTGGTCATCACAAGGCAGCAATGTATAAACCACCTTTTCATGCTCCACCTCCTTTAGGAACTTGGACCTAGATAGCAGATTAGTAGGGCCTTCTGTTGAGGGTGGAGGGGGGTCCTCTCGACGTGGTGCTAATATTATCCTCATGCCTTTCATGAGAAAAGAATATGTATTCTTTCGTCCATCATGTACAACGCTTCGATCATACTGCCAAGGTCTTCCCAAAAGAATGTGACATGCATCCATCTTCACAACATCACACCAGTGACTATCATGATACTTATTCCCAATTGAGAAGGAAACAAGGCATCTCTTGTCAACTGTCACCTCGGAACCCTTGTGTAGCCAAGATAACTTATAGGGTTTGGGGTGGCGTTCTGTCTTCAACTGCAGTTTCCGGACATCTTCGTCAGAGACAATGTTGTCGCAACTACCACCATCCACAATCATCTTGCAAACTTTTCCTCCAATGGTGCAGGTTGTGTGGAAGATGTTTGTCCTCAACCAATCATCTTTAGAATCATCCTTTGGAGCCAGAAGACTCTTGCGCACAACCAAATTCTCTCGACCATCCCCGTAAAGAACATCATCTTCTGCATAATCATCATAGACTGGACCTCCAAACTCTTCAACTTCATCATCGTCAACAACGATGTTCTCCTCCACGAACAGGCTCTTGCTCTTCTGTAGAGCGGGTTTCTTGCATTCATTCGCCCTATGTCCAGGTTCACCACAACGATAGCACTTAATCGTACTACTCGAAGCTCCCTGCGTCCCTTGGACTCCCTGTGTGGTCAGTCGAGGCTCTTGGGGTCGATCCGGACGGTTATTGGTCACCGGCTTCCTGTTCTGCTGCTTCTCAACTGCAAGGGCCCTTTTGTATGCCTCAGAAACAGTCCATAATGAATGGAGGTTGAGAACATCCTGCAAGGACTGACGCAAGCCTGCCATATATCGGGCCACAAGTTGTTCCTCCGATTCAGATAGATCGTTGCGGGCAATCAACTGGTAGAATTCTTCTGTGTAATCATCAACGGACCTCGTTCCCTGCCTCAACGTATGGAGTCGCTGAAATAGGGTTTGTGTGTATCCGAAGGGAAGAAAGTGTGCCCTCATCTTACCCTTCATCTTCTCCCAATCATTGATCTTTGGCTTACCCTTCTTCTCACGAGTTCGCCGCATCTATTCCCACCATGCAGAGGCTCGTCCATGGAGTTTGATCGCCACAAGCTTCACTTTGTCACGATCTGGAACGTCCTTATACTCGAAGATACGATCCACCTCGTTCAGCCAGTCAATGAAATCATCGGCCTGCAGGGTTCCTGAAAAACTAGGGATTTCCACCTTAAACCCTAACCCTCCGCGATAGTCACCACGGACGCGAAAATCACGTCTACGAGGTTCGCGATGATACGGGTTCTCAAACGATGATCGGGAGCCCTGATCTGACTCCTCATGATCCTCCAAATCTCGCACCGCCAGGCGCTGCGTGAGTTCTGCGATTTGCTGCCGCATAATCTCGTTCTGCCGCTGTAGATCTGTTATCACCTCCACGTCGTCAAGGCGCTGCTCTCGTCGGGGGGGTTCGCCACCCATAGGTTGCCCACGTCCGCGACCTCGTGCACGCACCATTGATGTTGAAGGAAGATCTTCCTTTATTCGTCGAACCAGGCTCCGATACCAACTGACGCCGAATGAAATCAAGGCGTAGGGCTAGAACGAGAAGAACAACGAAAGAAAGGGAGAGATTGAAACGCTAGGGGAAGAGTTCCGCTCTAGGTTATGAATTATTCTCAAATAATGATAGTCTGCCTCAAATATGCCCACAAGCCGGGCTATAAATAGCTGAAAAACGAAGGGAGTGAAACCCTAAAAGATGGAAGACAAAACGGGCCTAAGAATAAAAATAAATGGGCTAACTAAAAGATAGGCCGAAGGCCCAAAGACACAAAAATTTAAAAATGAAGGCCTTAACAAAGAGTTCACGTTAGTCTTGATCCTCTCCTACATCACCAATCTTGCAACAAATAATCTAGTTCCATTGCACAACTCCATAGATTGATTAATATTTCTCTATAACATTATCGGTGTTCCGACCATTAATCTCAGCTCATGATTAGGCACACCAGATGCCCTAATGTTGTTTAAAAATTCAGGGGAGTGCAAATCTGATATGGCATCCACATTAGGATCTGACTTGCAAACGCTATCAGAGCTTAGGTAAGTTTTCGCTTCTCCAACTGAATTCATCGATGCCATGTAGTCATTTATGACATCAACCACCTCTAATGTCGGTGCAAGAATTGCCCGTTCTTGCAAGTAACTTGGGTCTTTTGCTATGTTATCAAAATTAGGATAAGTGACTTGAACAATTACAGCGAGAGGATCTCTTGTGCTTTGCAAGATCATATCAGAGGAAATCTCTACATCACAACATCCATCATTTTCTTCTCCAGCGAGGCCATCCCCGATACTTGCTATCCAATTAGTAAATTCCAGTATACTATCATAAGTATCATCACGAGCCATGTGTTTTAGACGTATATTCATAGTGAGACGTAGCACGACACAAAACTGCCAAATATATGAGGAATTAATTTCTTCATTAACAACGTCTTGTCTGGTCCTTTTAGGTATGACAGGCTATAATTCTGTGTCTGTATTAATAAAATATTCTTATTAAAAATGGAGTGAATTTTTTTCCGAATGGTAAACGAACTTTTAGAAACATTTCATTCCATGTTTAAAAATAAACAAAGAGTTTTTAAAAAAAGCTAAAATAAAATTTTGAGGTATATTTCTCAGAAAACACAAATGCTATCATATATTTTATTATGGCATCTTTGTATTTTTTAAAAGATATATGTGTGGATTTGAATTAAGTTCAATATTCTTAACCAAGAATAATATTTTATTTGCAAAACTCATATTAAACTTCTGAACCAATTTTGGAAATGTAAGCGTGCATGAAAGTATGACAATTCTAAAAGGACATAATTTTTAAAGTTTTTACAAAGGAACATCCTTAAATCCTACAGTTGAGATATGATCACCATAGAAAAATATAATTTTATATGATTGAATATTTTTACAAGAGAACATAGACACTTGTGAATTTGCAAGTCAAATTAAACAAATATATTTTTATAAAGTAAAATTTGATATGTGAATTATGCAACACATACAAAGACAATTACAAATGACTGTTCGTTTTTATAGTGACATACTCCATGTATACAAATTTTTACAAAGCCTACAAGAATAAAAAAAATATACTTTGGGAATAATCCAAATCTATAAGAATGAATAAGTGGGAGATGATTGGTAGAATTTGTGGTAGAGAGAAGGAACTACTACCAGGATTCATACGAAGTATTAAAATTCTAGATTTAAGGCTATGGAGGTAGACCAAGCCTTCAAGTCCTGAAATGTTTTCCTTCACATACACCTTTTCCTGCCTAGAAACAACTACCACTAAGTAGTCTACTTCTCATTTAAAATGATGGACCAGGTTCTCTTTTCCTCCTTAAAAGCTCTGCAAGTCATGTCCTCTTCTTCCTTTAATAGGGAAGGACTCTAACACCTTCCTCTCCACACATCCCCTGCAAAGAGAAAGGGAACCCATTTAATAATATTAGAGACAGATGGAAATAAATAATTCAATTATGTTTTCTCCCTATCACACTAAATGGAGGGTGAGTACACGAATGCCTAATTTCAAATAATTTGGATGAGTCACTAAGGAACTTCTGCACTATATAACTCTCCACACATGGATTCTAAATGCAAAGCTTCAAGCATCCAATAAGTTATACGAATAGACACCATCTTAGTTCAACCAACCAGTATATATACTTACCTTAACTCTGGGACAAAATATGCAGTATTTAGTTTACCTCATGTGCATTGGTAAGAGAAAATAAAGATGATCTATAGTTAGGAGGAAGCTAAGGAGTTCATACCAAAAAAACATAAAAAGGAATTGTTTCAGCTGTAACAGAGTCGATGCTCTAGTTGCTCTTAAGAAAACTCAGGTGAGTCACCACTATTCCAGTCATTGGTACCTACAAGTTTTAAGAGGGGGAAGCTACCAGCCAAGAACCGATGAGTTCATCTAGATCCCTAAACAAATCTGATAAGGTGAGCGGGTTATCAATTCTTAATATTACATTTTAGCCTACTGCTAGCCTTGTATGTATGCATGCATGTATGCATATGTGTGTTTGCGTGTTTATATATATACCCATATATATATATATATATATATATATATATGAAAATCTTGCTCCATATAGGACTAAAAGATAGTATGTTTTCTTGAATATGACTAGATATGTGTTATTCCATTTATGACACATATATTTATATGATCTGCCATATATGCCCTCATTAACAAGAACTATTGGATAATGACTACTGATTATATAAATGACTCTACGGATATGGTCATTAGTTATATGAATGACTCTACGAATGTGGTCATTAGTAACAAGTATTAGATAATGACTGTTTATTTCAATGACTATTCAATTTTTTAATAATGTCTTATTTTACTTGAATTTTGTAATCGGTCTTTTTTTTCTCAAAAGCATGGCATTTTGGAACTTTCCTCGCCATACGTTAGAGTGGATATAACTGATTCTATTTAGGGAAAAGTGATATGTTTAAGTCCTATTAACGTACATTTCTCTCTATCTTTCTATATATACACACACACACACATATATATATATGTCTGTGTGTGTGCGCGCGCGTGTGTTAATTATGCATTAGTTTCACCAATAATCTCAATAATATATTTAATTTTATGCTCATGAGTATTGTGTTGTTTACAAATGAGTATTGAAATTAAAGTAAATAATATGGATTTTTTTTGAATATATAATGTATGAGACTATTTTTCAAATATGTGAAAATAAATATTTTATTAATTTAAAATAATTATTCGCGGGGAGTACAATCCTGTTGTATGGAATACAAACTCGTACAGAACATGATATATAGTGGTGATTTAGATTTACATCCCACAGGTATGGAAGTACTCCCTAGCATTTTTGTTTTGGACTATATCTGCTTTAAATCATGACCTGTTTAATACGGAGTATTAGCTTTAAAGATTATCATTAACATTTTAAAATTAATCAAAGAGTATTCAATTCAGATTTTGAAAAATCAATTAAATTTTGGAGGTATTCAATTGAGATTTTAAAAAATCTTTCTAAATCTAATGATATTGAAAAGTTGATAGATTTTTAAGGATTGTTAAATAAATGGATTCTAATGGATTTTTGGTTTGAAGTATAAATAAAAAATTTGTTTTGAAATCCAACAAAAAACGCAGGTATTTTCAAGAATCCAAGAGTCTGTTTAATGTCTCGATCTCCTTCTTCAACTCACTCCTTTCCGATTTGCCCTTAGTTGCTCTCTGCCTGTGCGGCTAGCCGACGGACGACGACCTCTGCCTTTCCGATAATCTGTCGGGCGATGACCTATGCATTTGCGATCTCCTTCCCCGTCGGGCGCTCCCTCGTTTAGCACTCCAGATATGTCACCAAATCTGAGGTCGTCGATTACTATAGCCGGCGATAGGTTATTTTAACAAGATAATGAAAATCATTATTTGTCTCTTTCAATCTCGATTTCATCTCCTCAGGGTTTCTGATTTGCAGCTCCGCCATACAAATCTGTCCAGTTTGAAGCATTAATTCATTCTTCTTCAAACTTGGCTAAGATAAATTGATTTTCTATATTTATTTTTTCTAGGTTTTTTATATTGTTCTTTCTCAAACTCATGCTATTAAAGTGATTATCAGTTTTTTTTAGTCCGTGTATTCTTGAATTTTGGCAAAATGCTGTAATGCTGTAATATAACACATATTTTGCCGTATGTTCTTCAAATTAGTTTTTTTAGTCCGTATGCTATAATGCTATAATATTATGCCTTTTGGCCTATGATTGGGACAGATTTGGGTATGGCCTTACATATTTGTTTCTATGCATGTATATATAGAACACTTATTTGCAGAACATTTTTTTAGTCCCATATACATATTTGTTTGTATGTATGTATATAACACAATGTCGGAAAGAAGATTTATTACTTTGCATTTGTTTACTTATCTGTCAGTTATTTATTTTGATATGCATATGTGTAAAGAAGTGGTTAGTTTTACTTTATATGTGCTTGGTCATATAGATAAATGGAAGAAGAAGTGATAGGAAGAGAAGAAATAGATGAAGAAGGAATTGAAGAGGAATTCTATGAAACTATCAAGTACTTATTATTGGCCATTCAAGCAATAATGATTGTTTTAAGAGATGCTCTAATTAACATGCCTCAACGTGTGGAAGGTTCCCTCAAACGTTGCTCCGTAACTACAAAAGGATATCATTATATACATGGAGTGTTGAAAGAAGACCCACAAAGTTTTAGAGAACTGTATAGAATGTATCCTGATGTGTTTCTTAAGCTATGCATCGTTATCAGAGAAAGTACACCTTTAGAAGACACGAGATATATTTGTGTTGAAGAAATGATAGCAACATTTCTACTCATCGTGGGTCACAATGATTGGTATTGTAATGTTCGTCAAATATTTGGTCGTTCACATTTCGCAACTAGTCAAAACTTTAACAAAGTTTTGAAAGCATTAAACACTATAGCACCACAAATGATTGTCAAGCCGGGATTTGCCGTGCCTTCTAAAATAAGAGGCATCACAAGATTTTACCCCTACTTTAAGGTACTTTCTTTGACAAAAGTAATGCAACGTT